CCACGATTTCGACACTTTCTTGGCCCGCAAGAAACCACTACTGCACAGTACCCCAAATCCCAAATTTCCGATCCTCAATCCCTCGAACCAAACCGCCATTCCCAGAAACCCTCAAATCCATCACCGGCGGAACCCGGAAAACGCGCTGTTCAACCTCGACCAGATCAGGGGGAAGATACTCGCCCTCGCGAACGACCAAACCGGGTGCAGAATCCTGCAATACAACCTAAACCTATGGACGAACGAGGAAGTCGACGTCGTACTGAACGAGCTGATCGACTTCGCCGGATATCTGTTGAAGCACCCCTCCGGCAGCTACCTGATTCAGAAGCTTTTCTCCGTGTGCTCCGAGGAACAGAGACTCCGGATCATTCTGGCACTGGCGAGGACCCCATTTGAGCTCATTTCCATATGCTTAAACGCTATTGGGTATCTGATTTAGTCCTCTTTTCTTGGCTTGATCGAATTTGAAATTTTTGTGTTTAAGGATGATTAATTAATTGATTGATTGGTTATATTACTGTTTAACTAATCACGTGCATGAAGGGCTCGAGCTATGCAGAAGATTCTGGAAGAAATTAGGTCAGCACAACAGAGGTTGATTGTGATGAAGACTTTAAGGGTTGGTGCTGTTGATTTGGCCTGTGACACTTATGGCCACCTTGTGATTTCTTATTGCCTCTCCAACTATTCATTCGAATTCAACGAGGTAAGTACATTACATTTAATAATGCTACTTTAATTTTAAGGATGATTTCAAGATTCAGTGTCTCAGCTATTGGTTGTGATGAGTTAATGTCCGCATAAAAATATTCTTTCCGGATTATACTTGTTTGAGATTTTATTTAATTGAGCCGAGAAATTTTACCTGGATTTTTATGTGTTACACTGGCATAGCTCACACTAGCTTATGTCTTTTTTGATATAAAAATATGACAAGGTAAATGGTACATGGCAACATCTTGAGGTTGTAGTGATCAACATTGTATTAGTAGCCACAATGATTACAACTATGAATGGTCTGAGTAGGCATTGGATTAAGAGATGCATGCGGTGATCTATAGGAATTAATCAATTATAGAAGATGTTTAACTTTAATGAAGTGTCTTTCTTAAAGAATACTTCCGGTGTGTTCGGGAATAGTGTTTTCAAGTTGACTTTCCACGCATTTTAACGAGAGTTGAAAAATAATATGAAATGTCTACTTTACTATTTTTAAAGTGGACGGAGATATGTTAAATAAAGTAAGTGAAGTGTTAAATGTCTATATTAAATTAAGAGAGCAGTGGTAGTTATGATATGATATTTAACATATTAAAAATAAAATGGAAAGATCAATTTTGGACACTCGAAATTGCTATTTGGGAAGAGATCATTCCCGAGGGAGGGAGTAAAATATTTCATGGGCCTTAAACCGAGGTCAAGAACAATACTTGGGGAAAATACTTTCTCCGTCCCGGAAAAACATGGGAGTTTTGATTTTGAAGAGAGATTTAAGAGAGTCTATTTTGGTATTGAATTTCCAAAAATGATCTTTGATGTGAGGGATAAAAGTATGATTTGATGGATAGATTATTAGTAAAAAGGTATGATGTGATAGGTAGGGTATGAAAAAGTAAGGGGTAAAAGTGACTTTTTAATAGAAATGAAAAGTGTTTTTAGGGGCGGATGAAAAAAGAAAAGAGAAAGGTTTTCAGGGAAAGAGGGGGTATGACATTTCTAACAATACTTGTGAAGTGTTTACCTGATTATGCATATAAAAATGATAACCATGTCTGCTTTAAATTTAAACTCTTACTCCCTCTGAGTTTTTACTTTTAATGGATTTAATGAAAGTGAACTTTGGTGTTGAGTTTTCAAAAATATCGTTTTTTTTTTGTCCTTTAATTGCATTCATCATTTGAAGGATTCAACTTTGTTTTCGATTTCCATTACTTGGGTCACAATTGAAAATGGGGAGGGAGTATTGCACCCTTTTCTTCCATGGCCAATCTAATAAAAGGCAGTATTTTTGTTTAGGGAATTATCAATGAGATAACAAATGAGTGCCTCCCAGTGGCAACCAACATAAGAGGATGTCGTCTGCTGCAGCTATGTGTGGAGAATGCTTGTGGAGATGTCAAAGAACGTTTGGTGCGCGAGATTTTAGCAAACTCTGTCATCCTCTCCGAAGATCTCTATGGGTGAGCATCTGATCGAAACCCTTCGGCTTGATTTATGCGTTCATTTAAGACGATGAACCCAAACGCACCCGTATAATCATAGTAATAGATTTCTTGATGGCTTTCCATTCCATTCCATTCCATTCTATGCAGCAACTATGTGGTCCAGCATCTTCTTGAGCAGAACATCCCTGGAGTTGAAGATGCACTTGTTAGGATTCTTGAAGGCAGGTTTGTGTCCCTTGCGTGCAACAAATACGCGAGCAACGTGGTGGAGAAGTTCTTTCTCAAGTCGGGAAAGAACACTTCCAAAATCATAACGGAGTTCATCACCAGCCCAAATTCCTCCAGGCTCCTCGTGGATCCCTACGCCAACTACGTCATCCAGAAAGCCCTCAATGTCGCAACGGTACTTTCTTTCCCCCTCAATCTTTTGATAATACTTTAGACGATTCATCCTAGCGAAAAACAATATCGGCGTTTCGTTAGGCAAGGAAACGAAAATTAGGAAGAGAAAACATACTTCTAGACAAACTAAAACAAGAAAATCCACAGCTAAATAATCATGGTTTGTTATGCAGGGGGGGCCATTGAAAGGGCTTGTGGATCTGATCCTGGTGAATGCCACAACCATGCAAAGTAATAAGCACGGGAGAAAGATCCTTTCTTGGTTTGACAACATGAAAGTTCACTCTTTGTACATGTGACACCCCCCCCCCCCCACACATGTACAAAGAGTG